GCGACGTCGGTAAATTATACAACGTCTAGACCTCAAAATTCAGGGAACTGGTGAAGGTTTCGAGGAAGGCGTTGAGCACCGAAGCCTTTCTGAACGAAATTTCTACGCCGGGTGGCGTCACTTCACAGCTGTTTGATTCGTCAGCTGAACTAACTTGCAGAAGAAACCTGATGTCATGGTTACAGTTTTGACCTCAGTTGACAAACGCCTTCTTCACGGGGCCGAAGGAGTTGAAAAGGTAGGTGGACAGACTGACGTTGAGGAGTAACAAACATTGCCTTTTCTACACTATTTATTATGAAAATATAATACAAAAATTACTATCTTGTGTTTGTGGTCGGTAATGATAATATGGTTGGTTTCATTACACCAGGCGATAGGCTAGCCTATCTACAGCTTGCAACACGTGTGAATTCGACTGTGAAGTGGAGTGGTGAGGGCATTTTTCACTCCTTTGTCCTTGTGAATCTGAATGGCATTTTGAAATATCCATACAATATTAAATAAAGACAATACAGTAAAATTATTTACCACATTTCCCCCACTTAAGTAGCACAATCACCAATTGACCTTGTATGAGAAAAGGCATACGTTTTTTTAAAAATGTTATTTGGTTGCTGATTAGCAGATCTTAATTATTTAATGAACACCACCTACTGTAACATTCAGTAACGCTGCGTTTTCCCCACAGAATGTATTTAAGATTTTCATAGGATTATCAGAATAAACATAGATTATTACCCGAAAACAGACGTTAACCAATTGATCTTTGTAATGGAGATGCTATGTTTTCTATGAGGTACGGCTCTGAATTTTTTTTTAAATTTGAACGAGCTTCGTGTCAAATTCTCGGTCTTTTTAATGCAATGGGAGAAATTCCTGCTTAAAAGAATTATCAGTGCAAAAAACTTCGTTCAGATTTACTGAATGCATAATCAGGTGATGTGTAAAGTAAAGATTGTATTGAAAGAGTTCGAAGATGAGTGAATAATTCTTTACGCTGTTCATTTAAATGAAGTTTAGTGGATGTATTTGTCATGGTCCGTGACGTTACTCCCGATTCTGCCAGGGAAATGTGGCCGATTTCACATTTAGAAATGCGATTTTCAGTGCAACTGCCTCGAACTTTCAACGCCACAGAAGACTCAACCTGTGTTGATTCTCGTAACTGTCGGTCGACTACTGATTGGTGCTATACATATCAGGCGTTTTGATAAAAAACTCCTACAGATATTACAACCCCTTTTGGCAGCTATATTTAATATTGCTATCGAAAGAAAACTTCATACCGATCAGAAACTGTTTGCTTCTTTATCGCCACGAAAACGTGTCAGTATGTTGGTAGTTTTATTTATTTTTAGTGTTCTGTCTGACGACAGGTCCATATGAACAGGATCCTTCCATCCTTTTCTCGGACTGGGACCTGTTCATATACGTTCTTGGCAGATGATCCAGAAGTGGTTTGCCATTGCCTTCTTCTGTGTGTGAATGGAGTAATTGTTGGGATGCCACGGAGGAAAACTCCGTGTTGCCTAGACCACGGCCTTGCCCAACACAAGTTATAAATTCGGGCACCGCCGGGAATCGAACCCGAGACCCCAGGATTACAAGTAGTAATGGTAATATGCAGCATAAATGAACGATTACTGGGGCAGTACAGTGCAGTGAATAAGAAATCGTATACTAGTCACCGCCAAACCGAAGGATTTATATTCAAGGTCCTCAAAATCTACCAACAGCCTCAAGTTTTTCTCAGATGGAACACTTGGCCTTTACACCCGCGAAATGGCCGGTTGGTGCCTCACAGCGACTCTGATTTTTTTTTTTAAGGAAGACTTGAAGACATTCTGGATGCGAGATGTCTTCTAAAGTTAGGTTAGAGAAAATTAGACTTTCAAGGACATGGGATTAAGTCTTATTTCAGTTACTGATATTTGTACGTAATTTAAGATATAAATTTCGTTATTAAGTTACGATTAATTGGAATTTTTAAACATCTGTTCGATAATAATATCGATAATTGATTGAAGTTCGTAATTAAATCATTATTAGTTTCATTCGGACTTGCTCCAAGCCGAATATGTATGCGTGCGCTGGCATCGTTTAATTTAAATGCTCAAATAGTCGTGTTCTTAATTTTATTTGGGACCGAAATATGACCAACTCTGAACACGATAAAATGGCGCTGGATTCCGTTTTTTACGGTGAAAGCAAACAGTTATCATTTCGATAATATTATCCGACTATTGCTTATAGTCTATTGCTATACTTTCCTAACACTTCATTATCAAAGATTTCTTATAGCAACCCTCTTTTATATTTTCTGTTTTTTTTCTAGTGTTATCATTACTTAGAATAATAGTATAATATCTCATCTATATTGCTCTAAGTTACTGGGCCATTGCATCGAGGCATTTATTTGTAAAACAACTATGAAGGCCCAACTACTGTTTTATTGCTTTTGAATACCCGGCATTTTCCTGGGATCGTCACACTACGTACCGTTCACAAATTAAAATGCGACGGTTTCAGATGAAGGTCACTGAGATCCCCAGCTCGCACAACTGACGGTCACTTCCATGGCATTTCGTCAAACAAATGACGTTCGACTTCTTATTTGCCTCGTTCTCAAAAATTAAATTTTCGAAAAATTTTGCACTTGTAATACGTGTATGATAAATCGTCTTGAGAGGTATAAGGGGTGGAGTTCGAAGAATGACAACCGATGTTTTCATCATTACCCTCAAGTTCGTTTAATCATATTTGGATATTATTTTTAAATATATGGTTTATGATGTATTTCCGAAAATTGTGTTTTGTTTCCTGAGGTTTTAGGGCTTGATACAGCATTCCGTGTCACTGAAGATATTTTCTCTAAAATCTGCCATACGCTAATATAACAAAATTTATGAACAGATCAGAGAGAATCTTTGAAATTGAAAGACAAATCTTAAAGTCGTGTATACATTGGTGTTACAGAATGATAGTTATCGCTAATAGCGTATTTTATTAATTAACAACAAATCATTGATAATATTTTATTACAAAAATCGCATAGATTTTAAAATTTGAGACACTAAGGGAGTGATAGTTGTCACTCTGTCTGTACGTCGAAGTTTGTGCCATTTCGGTTATGTCTATGTTTGCTGCTGGAGATCTCGGGATGCCCTTCTATTAAAACATAATCTCCGACCCAGTTATTGCCAGTGGAATGATATAAAACTGATTTTGTAAACAATAATCTAGCTACAGTTATTTCATTAGCAGTCAGACGCACACAATACAATGTTCACTCATTCAGACAAACTGCCGTCTACATCATTTAATTAGGAGATTGACACAATTCAACAAGAGTTTTTATTATTAGTATTGCAAACGTTATTGCTAAAATGTTTAGAGTAAAAAACATTCTAATAATATAACGTACAACTAAATTACTGTATAATTTATAAAGGTAAATGACTAATTTGATGATTCGTTGTATTTAAAGGGACAACAATTTCGAGTTACAATTGTTATAATTTCGTTGCTTGTTTATTGGTTATTGCAAGGTTTATTGTTGCATCGTCTGTCAACATTTGGTTCACGCAAACATTGAAAATGAACGGGCCGAGGAAGTTGATGATCAAATCCAGTGCCTCAGATCTCAGGAATTTTAAATTCTGACGGAAACGAAGATGTCGAATGTTTTCCTCTGGGTTGTCACTCCGTGAAACAGTGATTTTGTTGACGTCGCAATAAATTTTGGTGTAAAATTCTAACATCTCAAAATATGTAACAAACAGTAAATTATTTTTCAGTTTGGAAGACTTTTAGAAGTTTTGGAAGGTATTTCTAATTTTATTTAATTTTAATGCGGGATCGTATGCAAATAAATACGATAATTGTTCTGAGTACGCGAGATAATATCTTAATTTTTTGTATCTGAATATATAAATGTAATACATTTACATTTTTACGATATAAAATTGCTTCCATATATCTAAATAGAGTTGAGTATTGTGTATACTCAAGTGTTATTCTGTGGTTTAGATGATAACAGCAAGCAACAGCCTTAAATTGGGGCTAAGACTGGTTTAAATTTACGGGAAACCAGTTTCGCAAATTAAAATGTGAAGTTTATCATGAGCATATGTAACTGACATAATTTTATTGCTATTCGAGAATTAATTTTGAGAATACATTATATTGCTTTGGTAATATGAGATATTCATGTCATTTAAAAATAACTTATAAGAAATACTGAAACGATAAAAAGATCTATAAAATGTTTCTCAGTATTTCGTATGCAATTGTAAAAAACAAATTTACGCATTTTGTTTGCATCGATTTTGTTTATTGCTAATGCTTTTGGTGACCATTGGATATAATTATTGCTGAATAAGTTTATTGCTTGTAATATGTACTTCGCTGCACTTATATTGAATTCGAATTTGAAGTTCAAACTCTTGTTGAATATACGAATACATTCACACTTATATGGTATATAATACATAACCAATAAATAATACTCCTTAATACTATAGTAGTGAACTTAGAGACTAAAGACTAGTTATAATAATACTTTATACTGCAAAACGGCTTGTAGCATAAATAATATTTGAGAAGTCCATGCGTCATGTACAAAAGCTTATCTGACTCTAGTTAGTGCATAGCCAAGATTGGTATCACTTGTTATACACAGGTGACTAGATTAGGCTTCTCTCTTCATTTTTACATCTTAATAGTACATTTGGGGGGGGGGGGGCAGAATCAGCCCTGCTAGTTCCCGCAGCGGTACTGAACTCATGTCCCTCAGGTGAGGGAGACGTGAGGAATCGCGTAGCTTGCAGACCTGGGGGCTTGTCCCCAGTGAGATGGGGCAGGAAGTGATAAGAAAGACAAGAGGTGGGACAGACAGAAAGAAGAAAGGACCAAAGAAAGACGAAGAGACAGAAAGAAGGAAGGACAAAAGAAAGACGAAGAGACAGAAAGAAGAAAGGACAAAAGAAAGACGAAGACACAGAAAGAAGAAAGGACGAAAGAAAAACGAAGAGACAGAAAGAAGAAAGGACAGAGAGAAAGTATGAAATACAGATAAATAAAGAATGGCAAAGAGAAAGATGGAAATAAATAAGGAAGAGTACGGAGAAATAAGTAAAGGAAGAAGGAACGATAGAACCATACAATTGGCCACTTAATTAATTAAATAAATTACTCATCAAATCTCCCGACTCTGTATCTGAGTTATTGACAGAGTCTTTAGATAAAATATATGCACAGAGGCAAAAGAGAAAAAGGAATAAAGCAGCTTCAAGAGGAAATAATAAATAAATGAAAGAGATGAAACAGTGAAGACGTCCCAAGAATTTCCAATGGAATGAAAACGCAGGTTTAAGTAGCATTTGCAGTTTGTAATAATTTTTGTTTTTCATGTAAAATGCCTTACTCTTATTTGAAGAGGATTATTCTGGCATGAAGATGGTGGACTGACGGTGCCAAGAAACGCACGTGTAAAACAGAGAGAGAGAGAGAGATGGAAAATGAATATAAAATGGCGAACAGAAGACGCAGAGAGAAAAGTAAAAGATACTACATTACAAAATCGATAAGACAAAGAGACTGTTTAATGCGGACTAGAATATAAACGGATAGCCAACTTAAAGCCACATCAAAGCGACTGAGATTCCAGAAGGGTGCGTCGCGTTCAACATAAATGCCACGTTAAGAATTGTGTGCGTACAGTGTTCGGGAACAGACTGTACCTCTTAAGTCACTGTCGCTTGACATCGTGAGACAAGGTGAATAATAGGTGAGATTTCAGGTTCTCACGGGGACTTCGTATGAAGATGCTCCCTTCTGGGATATCAGGCGGTGATCGGGTAAGATATTGACAGTCAGCCCAGAAAGCGGTAAAGTGAATAACGCATTGCGATTTTATGACTCCAACGTTGAAATCTTCGCGAAACGTTTGTATGGGAACATGAAAATGTTTATAAAATTATTTGTATGTGGCTGGATTTTAAATTTCTGAATTACATTTATACGGCGTAGGCCTATATATTTATAAATTACTATTAGTACAATTCAGGTATTAGAAGGTTACCTAATGAAGGCATTTCTTATCACTGAAGTTCAGTACTTTGGGAACTAGCATAAGGCTTCGGTAATTTGATAAACATAAGCAAAATACACTTAAATTATAAACTAACTGTACATTTTAAATATTGCACCATATCAATAGCTCCTACATTTTTTGTTGTTTTGACATGTGTGTATTTTACATTTTTATAGGACTATACATCTACATTTGTCTACCGCATATCCGAAATTTATATTTCATAAACCATACACAAAATATGTACAAATTTTGCCAAAATATTGCATAAATTATACCGATTTGGTATATTTACGATTTCGTTATTACAAGCTTCTTAAAGTCATGTACACCATAGAAATTACAAGTAATTTAAAAGAATATCAGCTTTAATAATATAATAATACTATTGTGGATAAAATACCCCTGGCTCAAGTCCCACTGTCTGGCGTTTTACGTCATGCTGAGTACATAAATAAAAGTATAAGACACGCCTCACTGTTTTGAAACCATCGTAAGCGGTGGCAGCTAACTCCTAACACCAGAACAAAGCTTTGTGATGTACACGATTTTAATACAATATAACAAACACATCGTCACAAAATAAAACCAGTTCTGTAGCCACGTGGGCTTGGAATGTCACGAGTATGGAGATTTATTTTTGCCACAATTTGACGTGGTAACTCCTGAACTGTAAAAACGTGAATCCGCTTACTCTGGTAATGTTCATTATATAAAGACTATACAAACTTCATTTTTAACATTGTGTAAAATAGCTTTTATATTACAAACCATTGTGGTCTTGAATTAAAATGCTGAATAACAACGTATGTTATTCTATATATGCAGTTATAAATATTGCTATCATAAATAGTATCATAAGTTACTGTATGGTCGGATTTCTGTCCTAAATGTATGAAATTTTACTAAAGATTTTTATATTAATTTATTTTATAAATTCAGCATTTGTCTCAACTTGAGTGTTGACTTAGGTATACATGTGTTGGCTACCTATTAAAAGTATCAGTTCAGTATACTTATTAAACACTAGGATATTATGTATGGTAATCAGCTAATGAGTTAAATGACTAGAGTCTCTCACTAACTAAATAAATGACTGCAGAACTTCTATCCTAGAAGCCGTGCTCAGTATCGTTACAGATTCGTTGTTCATGAAACTCTTCGATTTTCGTATGAACCGATAGAACAGACGTAATAAATAAATACACAGATAAATATATTAGCGTGCTGGTTTAAATACATGATGGGTTTGAAGCACTCTAAAGACTAGACGTTAAAGGGTTCTGTTTCATGGGAATCTATACATGTTTCCTTTTATAAAACTATATGAAATATATTGTATTTACGCTTTTCTGTCTATATAATTAAAAAAATGATAGAAAGAATGTACTGTAATTTTTTTTAATTATTTGCTCGTTCTATAAATTTTCAACACCAAGAATGAAAAATTCCAGTATAAAATATGTCTGGAGACGGTAATTTACGGAAACTGCGTACTCGTTGAAAAAATATTTAATTTAATTTTACAAAATGTATACGTACATTTTTTTTACAATCACTTATCGCATTCAGATCATTAAGAACGACAGGGACCGATTTGCTTGAGCTATAAAGACTCCGAGGTGGCTCACCGGTGACTAAATTTATCCCCACGGGGAATAGATTTCACCTCAAAGCCTTTAAGAGACGGAATGATCCGTTTGACGTTTCCAGTGTGGGGCTGGTACCTGTTTGTCACTTTTGTTAAATTTATTTAAAATGCAGTAACACAAGAATTTAAAGACAAATTACTCGTTTGCAAAAAGATTTAATTCGATGTAATTTATGGGGTAGATATATAACCGTCTAAGGTCCATGTATTTTCAGTCAAATTTGTTTGTTTGAATTCCGAAACTGTTGGGCTTAGGCAAACCACAGATTGTCACGTGATATTCTGAAGCTCGTTTTGGGCCTGACAGACGACCTTCTTCCACGTTAATTTATTTAAACATGTTGTAAATCATATGAGCTAATTTCACTTTGTTACCGTCAATAAATATTTTTTTGTTGAAAAAGCCCGGTACTACGAAAAAAAGAGACGCAGCTTACACTACGCGGAATGGAGCCGACAGAAAATCTTTAATACTTAAAGATACAGGTTTGTCATTACCTCCGTCAATGGCTTCTGTAATGTGATGAATAATGCAGTGGTAACTAAACTTAATTTCTATGTATTATTTACAATTTAATAATTGTTGTATTCGAATTTGACTTTTAATTTAATTATTATGTATTCAAAAAGGTTATTTCAATTTACGTTTTAATTTACTGAAATAATTCGTGTTGGTATACTTAGTATCTATAGCGCCTTTGTTTATAATTGTGCCTTAATTCTTAAAATCAAAATTGTGCATCTGACTTCAAAGGAATATGCAGCCTTACTTTGGTGCAAGAAAAACTATTCCATTCACGCGTGTTTATTGGAGTGCTCGTACGTTTATGAATAAGGACATGGCTACGTAAGTTCTTGTAATATATTTAACATTAGATAAATATAACCTCTGCCATTTCTATACCTAGATATTTTGTTATAAAACTTGGGAGTCTAGAAAGAGCAGACATGTCAAAATGACTAATTCCCGACGCCACAAAAGAATTTCGCAGTATTTTTGGGCCTCACATCACACAGAGAAGCCACCGGTAAATCCGTAGGGATATACAGGCTTTAAGCAACATAATATTAGTGAGTGCGTGGACGAAGCTTTTGCACAGTATTTTTCAACAGGAATAACCGATGCTTAGAGCCGAGGGTGAAGGCGTTAGGAGGTGTGACGACTCTGGAGGTGGGGAAAGAGGAGGACAGCTTGCTGCCATGAGAGGCGACGAAGCCTCGTCAGGTGCAGGTACACTGCCAGCGCCGTCCTTGAAGCACGCGGACTCGAGGTGTTTGTTGAGGTAAGACTTGAGGGCGAAGGACTTGTGGCAGCGCGTACAGGCGAAGTTCTTGTCGGCAGAGTGCGTCTGCATGTGCGCGCGCAGGTTGGAACGGTCGGCGAACGCCTTGCCGCAGTGAGCACATCCGAACGGCTTCTCGCCCGTGTGCGAGCGGAGGTGTCCCTGGAGCAGCCAGGGTCGCGAGAACAGTTTCCCGCACACACCGCACGCGTGCGACAGCTTGTGCGTCAGGAGGTGCATGGCCAACGCGGGCATGCTGACGTACGCTTTCCCGCACGTGACGCACTTCTTGGCCGACTGGGAGTCGAGGCTTCGGTGCGTCTGTTTGTGACGCGACAGGTTGGACGATGTCGCGTACTGTTTCCCGCATTCCGAACACGTGTATCTGGGTCGATTTTCGCTTGTCACTGAAGTGATACCTGGCAAAGTGGATATCGCTGTTGAATTCAGAGATTTCCTCTTAGATCGTCCATCACTGACAAAGAACGCCTCGTACGTGTATGCCACCGTCGTCCCAGCGGGTTGGTTTCCTAACCTGAACGCCGAAGCTCCCGATTGCTTGTCATCGTCGTTCTGCTGACTCGCCTCAGGCTGAGCGACGCTGTTGGCCGTCGACGCACTCAGGTCCAGGATGGCATGTGCTGCTGTCAGGTCCTCCTCCGCCGGGCGTCGAACCTGCGACGCCTCGTGATCCTTGGCAGGTCTGTCGTCTAAGGAGTAGGGACGATAAATATCTTTCTTCTTTGGAGGTAGGGACAGCGCAGCTCCGGTGCTTGTGAAGCACATGGCTAGAGACTTCCTGTTCCTTGGGGGCGAAGCGTTGGTTGGGGAGGAGGGAGGCAGGGGCTCAGCCCACGGTCGTCTGTCTGCGCCCATCTCAAGATTCTGTTGCTGCGCCTCTGCAGCAGTCTGCAGTGTCGCGTATGATGGCTGGTGAGGGGGATAGGCCAGTCCTTCGTCATGTTCCCTATCCACCCTGGGCAAGAATGCGGTGAAGTGGAGAGAGGACAGGTCCTGGACGTAACCTGTGACCAAAGAGAAATGCGAAACTCGTTAAAATATTCTACAGATGTATCAGTGCAGCGAAAAACACAAAAAGCTTGTTCTGTGCTCTGTCCTAAACCACATCAATCCATTACACGCTCTCTTATTCAGTATATATATTTTTCGTTCCGTCTATGCCTTTCAGGTTTTTCCAAATTCAGATCCATATGTATTTGTGTCTGACCCGCACATTCTACATGCCCCTCCCATATTATTAAAGTTTACGTTTCTCGAGGCGTGCGTCTCTTCGTTACGAAATTATCACCGTAATCGTACGCTCATTTAAAAAACGTTTCATTGCGAACTAAAGACGAGGGAATGGGTCGTTCTTTGTCCGCGTTTTTCCCCTTTTAGGACGCAGTGCTACAAACTTGCTACAGCTCTTCATTTTCGTTATCGGCGGCTCTGAAATGCTTTCGAAACGGCGTGTGGTTCATAAAGAGCGGCAAGCTTGCATTCCTCGGAGTTCGTAGCGACGTCTTTAGATTACAGTGCCCTCTGTGTGATTTGCTTTGTGTGTGCACGGGCTTCCCTTCCTCGTGCCTGTTGCAGTCTTGGCCTGTTTACTCAGAGCTTCTATCCTCCCCCTTTCATAACAGGAAGATGCAATACGTTTCTGTAGTTCTTGTAATGCTTTCACATAAAGCGGTGTTCTGCTCAAGTTCCCAAGAAAAATCTATTCTCTCTCATATAAAGACAGCTTGCCCATTTGGGATATGAGTTTTCTCTGCAGTAAGGAGAGAATAGCTATTTGGCACACGACCAATAAATGGGCTGCCAATATAAAAATAAATGAGTCCCTATGTTAAACAAACGAACACGGGCCTCTTCCAGTGGGAATGTTATCTGGATCTGTTGTTCCATAACAGGGAACAAACTCTTGTTCCTCGTTCCGTGTGGGTCAGTTTGTGTTCGGAAGCAATTTAATGTTTTTGTGAACATTGTTTTTGCAACACCTTTGAACTCAGGAGACCTGATTCAGAGCACCGTATTTAAAGAACTTTTTCCAGCTTCTGTTCAATAGCCGTTCGTCCTCCCCCCCCCTCACCCCATTTTAGATAGTTTAAATTATGATATTCTGAAATAGAAACGAGCTGTTTCACTCAAAATAATTTCAAGGCCGAATACTGTAAAATAATTAGAAATGTACTTATTTATTCGTATTGGGGCCGGGATGACTCACTCAATTTTATGACTGGTTTACGACCGGGGTTCGATTCTCACGTAGGGCAAGATATTTATCTTCGTCACCACAGCGTCCAGACCGTCAATGTAGCGTTAGAGTCTTGCAGCCTCCATCATCAGGGCGATAAATGCTCGCCCTGGGGATGAAGGCAAAAGGTACTTCTGAAACGTCGGTAAACGTCTACCAGACTTCATGGCTACAACCCAGAAGACAGAACCTGGCATCTCAACTTTAACTATGTAACATGTTTGTGGAATATTTTAAATTTTGATACCCGAGTGTGGTAGAAATGTATGATAAGGACAGTCTGCCCTCGTGGTTTACTTCCGCGGGTTTACAGAATATGAATCGTGTACGTTACTTTGTTTTCGGATATGATTCTACTTCGTAGAATCCACAAGGGAGCAGATAATACGCCTACCTTTTACCCCAGTAAAGTCGACCGAGGTAATTCTGCAGAGTTGGATGTTCTATAGGCTAATAAGAGAATATGCTTCATACTTGAAACTTTTAACATGAAATCCTATGCGGAATTATAATGATAAATCAACGCATTGTTAATTTTGGGTCTCAATTATCAACGAAGCAAGCAAAACGCTTTCGATTCATCCATGTGGGCCGCAAGGAACATTATTATTACAACGCTTATAAACCCAACTGAGGGTATACGAAGTTCTGCAGTTTCCAGGATGTGTAGAAAGTTGTACAAAACTTCCCAGAATTCACAGCACAGAGTAAGGCCTAAATCTAGAACGAGAAGCAAAGTTGTAATTATAAAGAATCTCTGAAGAGGAAGTACAAAGTAATCAAATGGAGTATTTCTCTGGTTAACTCGCTAAGTAACGCGTTTCATTGAACAGAGTCTTTGTAGAGATTGTGATAGTAAGCTCAGCTGTTTAACTTTCATTCTCTGAATACTTTATTCTTTGGCGAATACAAATATCCAAATGTGTATAATAAATTACATTCACGTGTTTTTAGTTCTAATATTGAAAAATCTTGTTGATAGCTCCACGCGTTCAGCCCTTTGAAGTCGCAACTCTTCTGAATAGTATTTAAATAAATCGGCCCGTACCGCAAAGAAAACACAACACTTAAACATTGCAAAGATCAACTGTTTGAGGCTATAATCGGTGTTTAAACTGAGAATCGTATAAAAGACGTAAATACATACTGCAGAGTTATTGACTGTTAAATCAAGTGTTACATATAGTTACCACTTAGCTTTAAAGGTCTGAGATCAGTGGCAGAATGGTTACATATTGTGAGCTACGTTACGTAAATTGGGGCTGTTATTTTCATCAGAGTAAAGAGTCATGAGATCTCACTGATGTATATTCCAGGTGCATGTGAGTAGCTTTTGGCATGAAGCCGTCTCGGTAATCCATGAACATCCGCTGTCTTTAATGTCTGAATTATACATAAGAGAATGTCAACGGAGGAAAATGTGTTTCCCCGTACTGAGCAGGCTACAGGCTCTATGTACGCTCACATGGAACTAAGTTGTGGGTACATCGGCACATACACTCGTTCTTCATCGAAGGTATTTTTGAACCTCTCTTCTACATACCGTGGACTTGACGTTGAATATTATACTTCCATCTACATCTAGGTCTCCAAAGCATTTAGATTTCAGATTTTTCAATTAAAATTTTGTACAAATATATTATCGCTCCTGTGCGCGCTACACGATGTGCCAATCGTATTCTTCTTTGCTTGAGAATCCTAATAAGTGTTGTATTTGTCGAATAGTACAAATTATTAAGTTTTACACAATGCGGGTTTTGTTAATATCTCTGATACTTCCTCCCTCTTAGATCGGAATATTTTCCTCAGACATCCTCAGTGTATGCTTTTCTGTTAATATCAGAGACAAAGTCTTACATCCGTACAGACAAAAGGTAAAATTATATTTTTATGTATTTTATTCTTTACGTGTTTGCGTAGCAGATGGGGAATACAATGCATTCTGAACGAAATGGTATGAGGCATTCACATAAAACAGACAAGGGAAATCTAATACGCTGAATTTCAGCCTTCGCAAGTTTTATTTGGTTAATAACGCGATGCCATTGGGCATAAATAAAATATATGAGGTGTAGGGCTAATTCACGAGGTCCTTATTCCACTTGGCTACACTTCTGCGCTGTGTACTGAGAGAGACGTTGAGTCGTCGACGTTTCTTGGTTGCATTTGATTTGCCTTTGCTTGGTCTCCCCAGAGTCCAGTCTGCAAGCACTCAGCTTCCGCCAACAATAAAACCTATCCTCGCTTCCTGCCAGAGAATAAGGGAAAAGGGAGATTATTTACTCAGAAAATTCGCCCCCCCCCTTTCACTCTCTTCCATCCACCCCTATTCCAAAACTCCTATAACTTAGCCAGGGTCGTCTCTTCCTTTATTCTGAAGTTCTCTTCCTTATTCCCGTTTCTTATCTCTGCTCCAGACAAATAGTTCGCTGTTTGGATGAGGGTTCCCGTGTGGGAGTCGGTCCATCTCAAAGATTCTTGCTCAGAATCTCACACTCACAATGTGAAATTGGCGTCCTTTCGTTTTCTAAGGACCACGTTCTCTTTAGTTATTATTCCTGTCTTAAAATGGCAGGTCAGTGTCGCTCAACCCCTGTCATCGACAGTGTAATTATGTGTAACCAAGAACCTAACTAACGAACGATAAATGACTAATATATAGTAGTACAACGCAGAGGTTCTGCACCGCTAATTAGGCTACCAAAGCGTGATCTTAAGGCTGTTCCATCCACTGGCGATCCTCACAATACGATCGCTATTAATCATATTCTTACAAGTTTCTGTCATTAATTCAGATGGGCGTTTTATAAGAGGTTTCCCCACCAAAATTCTGCAGAACATATGCTTTCCCAACCCATCGTAATTACCTTAATTTCGAAAGAGTAACAAGTTTATGCAGCCGGTGTAAATGACAAAGCTTGTCTCTGTGTTCGTCTGGAGTTTCGCCTGTTATTGCTGTAGACATCTTCAAGGGTCAGCGTTAAAAATTCTCCAGCCCGAGGTACTTTGCTTTTCAAAAATATCAAGTGAAGATGTCGTCATCAATTTTTGTGTGTCCTGTACTAGGAACCTTAAGTCAAGATGTCGCTTAAGTAGTGTCGTAGTGAGTCCATGTGCTAGTGTTTGTGCCTTCTCAAAATGATCTCACTCGTTCTTTTACGTTTCAATTTTTTTAAGCGTTTTGTTTCTTCTTCACAGTTTCTACCTTATCCTGATCCCTCTTTGTCCTTTTGTCTCCCCAGTTCTCCCTTTTGACACTCGTATTTGGTGCTACTACGTTTCTGTTCCCCCATTAAATTTCTTGTCTCCTTGTTCAAGTATTGTCGCCTTCCTTTGTTTGTCTGAGTGTAAGAGTGTCGCTATTTGCACCTCATGAACCAGTGTTTAAAACCTAAATGGATGTTATTAAATTGTCTTGCATTGAATGGAGTCACCTTTAGATATATTATGAAAAAATGTTTGGTTCGATTATTAGTTATAGGCTTGTACTTTTTCTTGTGATAAGTGACTGACTTTCGTTAAGCGTGCTTTAATGTATTTATGGGTTTCGTGTGATTCTCAGCGTAAACACCGATTAGTTCCTTAAACAGCGTTAACCAGTTGATCTTTGTAATGGTGAAGTGTTTTCTTCGCGGTACGGACTGAATTCTTACGTAATATTTACACGAGCTTTGGCTTCAAAGGGGTTGGTGCGACATTTACATTCCTACGCTAAGGCACTTCGTAGCGTTGACTGCAAAACCGACAAACGTCAAACTTCTCCCTAAT